ACTGATCTCAATAAAATTTAGCAAGGGTATTTCTGAGTTGTATTTCATATATTTCCCCAAATATCGTTGTTTCAGAGTGCATATTACAGCTGCGGAGGACAAAAATAACAAATCGGATGAACAATATATATGGGAGCTATATCTATATATGAATCGATTTCGATCAAATTTGGTATACTTATTTCCAGGCCTAATTTGGTCGTATGTGCAAAATTCCATACTATTTGGGCTGATATTACAAGTTTGGTGCACAATATAAGGCAAATAGAACGAAAATATATATGGGAGCTATACCTAAATTTTGACCGATTATCTTCAATTTCAATAGGGTTCGTCTTTGGGTGAAACAAAGTATTTGTGCAAAATTTCGTCTGAATCGGGCATGCATAAATCGACTCAGAATGTGATTCTATGCATATCATCAAAAGAAAAGATGGGTCTATCTCGTTTTCTTCTGCCTGTTACAAACAAATGCATAAAGACATAATACCCTGACCACCTTGTGGTGTAGGGTATAAAAATCAACGATTATAGCTCCGATATTTTTATAAAAATTTTCTTTAAAAAAAAAAAACTTAAAGCTCTAACAGTTTTTATAATTATCCCCGATTAAAGCTATGCTTATTTAATAAAAATGATCATTAATGATTAAAGTCTTAAAAATATTATTTAGAACTCGGCGATAAGAGTTTTCAAAATATTCTTAAAACAAAATCCACAATTCTCAGCTTGTTCTATAAAAATATTCTTTAAACACCCACAATTATAGCCCTTACAGTTTTATAAGAATATGCATTCCAATTCCACGATAATAGCTGTCATAGTTTTAAACATATCCACGAGTATGGCTCTATTAGTCCTGTAAAATAACTACTTAAAAAAAAATTCTCGAATATACCTAATTATAGTTCCAGCTCTAACCGTCCTATAAAACATTCATTTGAAAATATTCTATTGGAGTACTTTTAGTCCTAGAAATATATATTTCAAAAAACAACTTTTATAGCCTTAAAAATCCACTATTATAGCTCAGAAAGTCCCATAAAAATTATCAATCTAGTAGGCCCCCAAATAAATATTCAAATATTCTGAATAAGCTCCGATAGTAGCGCAAAAACGTATTAAAAACGTTAATAGTTCTTCAAAGAAATAGGTATTAAAAGATTTTAGAGGATTATAAACATTGCATTTGTTATCTTCAGTACGATGTTGTTTGTTGTCGTAGTTTCTTTTTTAGCCATAACATCCAAACATACCAACAAGTAGGTACGGTGACAAAATTTATGGAATTTCAAAATAGTCTATCGCCCGCCATTTGTTGTTATGTTTTATTTTTTGTTTTCTTTTTGTGGGAAAATGGTTTTTCATGCTTGTTGCCGATGACCCTGAAACCAATTCAGCGGAGCGCACTTTTTTCGATGAATTTTTGTGCAAAATGACGACATTTGGGATGACATCATTATGTGGGTAGGAGGAGAGGTGGACAATTATGGGAGGATATACCGACAACTAACAGAAAAGAAAAAAAAAAAAAAACTTGTACAAAAATAAACGAGCAAAAAATATGTAAGTCGTTACCTACTGACTGATTAGTTTTGATTTTCCTCTTTGGTTTGCGGTTTGTTTTGGTCTAATTCACACAGAGCGGTAATCTCAACATAAATAACCGCCACATTTGTAAATGGTTTCTTTATTTTTGGTTGGGGATTTGAAAAACCAATGGAAAAACGCAAATAGGTAATTAAGTTATGAAGTCTGACATTACCCCCCAACAAATGTTTCTTTGCTCTTCAAGTAACAGTGGAATCTGTATTTTTCGAAATCTCAAGAAGTCGTTAGAAATGAATACATATAATAAACAAATTTATCCCGCTCAGTTAAAAATCTTGATAGGTTATACATTTCTAGTCTGTTGCAATTGCAAATTATCGGGATTCTACTGTAATTTGTTATTGTGTGCAGTTTGTGTTTGTTTACCTGATACATACGACCATTCTCGTCCTTTGCCCACATGGCATTGGATATTTGACAGCGTTTAAGTATGACCCTCAACACGGTCTCCATACATGTGTCATAGGTCAATTCCATGTCGGGGGTGGGCTCCTTCTTTTTGATGGATTTCGTTTTTCCTGAACCATCCTGGCCAGAGGCAAGTCTTTCTTTCAGGAAATTCTGCAATAGTTTTTAGAGAGTCACGATAAGCGGAGCTAGAGATTACCAAATGGATGATGACCTAACTTACAGGAGTATGAATTTTATTAATACTCTTTAAACTGCCACCAATGCCATTGGATTTCAGTGAACTTCCCTCATGGGTTTTGATGACATATTCCGATTTTCTTCGGCGTTTGGGAAATGTACCAAATTGATTTGGTGTTGTGTTATTATCATTGGTGGTGGTGTTATTATCGGAATTTACCGATATGGTTTGTTGTTGTTCCAATGCAATTGAAACACTTCCTGTATCACCCCCTGTGTTCGAGTCACTGCTATTTGTTTTCCTTGTGGCAGTGGGTGTTTGAGTCAAAACAGCCGTTGAGGGAGTTCTGCTGTTAATACTTGGTGCCGCCACAACGCCAGTAGCACTTTTTAGGGAAATACCAGCCAGGGTGGCTGTTTCGGCTTTCTCCGATTTTCCATCGTATTTAGTGTGGGCCAGAATATCCTGTTTCAGACGTTGTTCCTCCGCCTCAGTGGGTATAGTAACAATAAACAACACTGCCGCCATTGTTGGTGGTTTCTTTAACTTCGTATTTTATTTGGTATTACTTCTTTTATTTCTCATTAAACATGCACTTTTTGTTAACAAATTTTATTTCACTCCCGTTTCAATGCTCCAGCATTTTATATTCGTATTTTTTCTTTGTTATTTCTATTTTTGGTTTACTATTTTCAAAATTTTGTTTTCGAATCTTTTTTTTCTGCCTGTCCGCACAACCAAAGAAAAACACCGACTGAAATGCTTGTTGGTTCGGCGCTTTCGAATAGCTAGCCGCCAGTTCAAGCAATCAACCAAACAGCCAGCAACACTTACAGAACCAATAAACCAAAAACAACAATACAAATGACTCTGCTGCTTATTTTTACTCTTCTTGTTTCCCACAAAAATGCTACCTGCCACCCGTCGCCTTGCCGGCCATTCTCACAGTACTCGAAATACGAATGCTAACCAGTGTTACCGCTGGGAATTTTGAAAAAGTTGCACAAAAAGTCATTTTCATACAAAAAAGTCGCACAGAAAAGTCAGAATTTCAATAAAAAGTCGCACAGATTAATTTTGAAGATTTTTATTCAAACAAAGAACATAAAACATAAAAAACATAAAACTAAATAACAATTCAATAAAAAATAATACAAAATTAAATTATAATTTCATTTTTTTGAAACTTCGTTTCTGTATTTTTGTACGAGATCATCACTGGGATTCCATTCCTCTATTCCTGCATCTAGCAAATTTAGAGCTGATAGCATGGATCCACAAGTTGTTACATTTAATCTATTAGTTAATTTTGTTTTCATTAGTCCTAATTTAGAAAAAATTCTTTCCGCAGAAGCGCTGCTATGGGGCAGGGTTAATACATGTGCGGCAAAATCGTATAGGTGTAAATATAAAGGTTCGTTTAAAGCATTTTTTAAACTACCTATAGTATGCCAAAAAATCTCAACATTTTTAATGTTAAAAATGTGTTTGTATGACTTATCATTAACTTTACTTTCTAATAGTTTGAATTCGCTAATAAAAGCTTCAGGTTCACTTATAATATAATTAAATTCATATATGAGATCAATATAATTAAAGTCTTCGTTTGAGGTAAAAAATGTTGGTTGCAAAACTCTTAAAACATTTAATTGTTTATCGTTTATATTTATCCTTGACAGTATCTCGTCACAAAGTTTTTGGTAAAATTTTAAAATATTGTTTTTTATAGTTATGCATTCAACATCAAGTATATTTTTAGCTTGCATTTCTGTTTCAGCTTCATGACCTATATATATATTTAAAACATCTTTTATATTATGTGTATCTTTAAAATTTATACTTTCTAGCTTTGTGACCGATATATGTTCCTTCTTCAGGAAATTTTGTAAAATTTGGAGTAAAATTTCCTTTGTATATGTAATCAGGTATACTATTTGTGATGACTCGCTTTGAAAGCATTTGTTAAATTTATTCATAAGACCCAAAATATATACCAAGAATTTTAAATAAATGAGGTTTTCAGACGACAATCCATCTTGAATTGCACGTATTTTATCCATTGTCCTTGGACATTTTTCTTCACATTGAGCCCGAAGGAAATAATGTTGTAATATCGTCCATTGTTCTACAATTCGTTTTGCCACCGACTCGAACGAAAGCCATCTAGTATCCGAAAGACTTAAAAGCTTGTGTTCTGGGACATTGAACATATCCTGCAATTCTGAAAAATCTACTCGCCTGTTTGAACTTTTGAAAAAATTATAAATGTTCTTGGGTAACTTTTCAACTTCTTCTGGTATACATTTCAAAGCTGAAATATTCATAAGATTTACAGAATGACAAACGCAACCAAGATGGAACAGGTGGGGGATTTTCTTTTTTAATAAACTAGACACCCCAATGTTTTTCCCAACCATACTGGAAGCGTTGTCAGTTGCAAACCCGATAAAATTTTCTAAGGGAATCTTATTATTTTCTAGTGATTCAATAACGGCATTACAAATTGTTTCGCCTTTTCCATTTTCTGGTTGTACTAATTGAAAAAAATTATCTTCAGTCTTTCCTCGGTCCTTGTTGAATTGCCTCACTACCATTACTAGACATTTATTGATGGAAATGTCGGTTGTCTCGTCTATAATGAGGCTAAATTGTTGTTTTTGCATTTTAGAGACTATAGCGAGTTGACCTTCTTTACCGAGAAACTGTGCAATTGCAGTTGATTTTGTACGACCACATGATACCTTAATAATTAAACAATATATATACCTATTGCTTTTGGTACCAAAATATGTTTACATACCAATTTAGCTATATTTGAATCAGGAAAAATCATGGAATTGAATTTACCAAGTCCGTCCATAGAATTGAAAGATTGGTTTTTTGTAATTGCACGTAACACCAACTTAATTTCAGCAATAGCGACATGTTTTCGTAAGTCTGTATTTCGATGTGGCAAATAATCAGTCAGTTGTATTTTCGCATTTTCAGATGTTTTGGTTATGTTACTAAGATGTTTCTTTGTTTCAGCATGTCGTCGAAGATGGTTTTTTTGGTTTGACAAAAGTTGTTTACAAACAATGCACAGGGGCCGCTTTGTCTCACCATCTTGCTTAAGCCACCTGTATTGCATCTCCCATTCCTTGGAATAATACCGGGAAATATTGCGTTTTTTGGAGGAACATGAAGGTTCTTCATCATTTTCCGATTCGGACTCGGTGTTCTTTTCAGATTCTGAACTTGTTTCAATTATCGTGTCAGCTCCTTTGCCCAGGGTCAGCCTTGCTTTGTTGGGAGATTCATCGTCAGCCTTTCTTTTTGATCTAACAATAAATCTATTAAGTTTAAACATTAATATTTGAAAAATTAAAAAAAAAAAAACAAATATTTACCTGTCCATAGAAGATTTTTACAAACACTTGTTTTTAATATAAAATGAGCACAAGCGTCTAAAAACTGAATATTGTTTTCAAAATAACACAAAATACTAATTATTTACTTCACTGAATTCAATTTAATGCTGTACTCTTTATTTTTAATTATATATTTAATTGCACTCCTCTTTCGCCAATGTCGTTGTTTTCGTTTTTCAAAGAATAATGATCAAAAGGTAACACAAACAACTGATCAAACTACTGTGTCGCATAATTGCAGCGTACGGCGTTAGCAATAGCGACGTGAAATTAGTTTGAATTTGAACGGCATGTACATTTGAACTTTTACAGGGTTTACCTCATCTATGATGATTTATTTGACATATATGTGAAATACTGTACACTAAATCCAGTACAATATAAATGCACTATACCAAATAAAAAAGAATAGAACTTATATTGTTGAGCAATAAAAAAGTCGCAAAAAGGTCGCACAAAGTTTAAAAAGTGGCAAAATTAGAAGATAATAAAAAAGTTGCACATATAGTCACAGATCATCAAAAAGGTTGCAAATTGCAACTTTAGTCGCACAACGGTAACCCTGATGCTAACACAGATAACGGTCTTAGCTCAGTGAAATTGTGATATTGAGAGAATCGGAGAAATAGTGAAAGAGAGAGCGTAAATGCGAGAGGAATAGATGCCACTACATCTCAACTAAATAAAACTGATTTTTTTTGACATATTTTTGAATTTTTAATCCATAAAAAATAAAAACAAAATACAAAAATTTATTGAACCACATACAGCGAGAGTCAAAAATAAGTATGAGGTTGATTTATTATTCATTCAGATAAGGCAAAAATCTTATCATTGAAAGAGAGGGATCAATGAGGTTCAATATAAAGATATCTCTATTCATTGGAACGATGTAGGTACTTATTTCCGCGAAGTTTCCGATTAGTCACAAGGGTGACTCTATATAACTTTGTATGACTTCGAATAACTAAAATTATATTATAATAGTTTTACCAGTTTGCATGTGTGGTTCTAAGATTATTATTACGTTTATTGTGCACTGCAACAAGAGATGGAGGCTGTCTCATTTAAACCATATAATGACCAAGTCTAAATAAGTCCATCTGCGGTAAAAATGCTACCATGGTAGAAGAATATGGTTAGACGCGTCGACACAGCTGCTGGGACAAAGAACTGTCAAACCAATTTTGGAATTGAAAATGTTGAATGAAAAATTATTTAAATTTGTAAAAATTGTTGAAAAACGCAAATTATAATAGCCTCCAAATGACGTAGTATAAGAAAACATATAAAAAATCTACTTATATTTAAAGAAAAACATTTAAAATTTTTTGACATATCAATGCTCCCAAGCGTTGATGCATCTACCTGTATTCTTCTGGCATGGATGCTACAGACGATTTTACACTTTCGTATACAATGTTTGTTTCGCAACCATGATAGAAGAATACAGAAGAATGCATTGACGCAGCTGCTGGGAACTGTCAAACCAGTTTTAAATTGAAATTTATGAATGAAAAATTATTCAAATTTGTATTCTTTTTTTTTTTTTTTTGGAAAATACAAGTCATAACAACCTCCGATTGGCATCGTATAAGAGAACATATAAAAATTTACTTATTTTTGAAAAAAAAAATCTTAAAAATTTTGGCATATCAATGTTTCGAAGTCTTCATGCATCTACCTGTATTCTTCTACCATGGTCGCAACTGCCATTCAGTGCTGCTAATCTGAAAAACTATAGTGGCCCTCCTAGGGGATGGATTCCATAGCGTGAAGGAGCGACTCCATCCATTTATTCCATCTGTTTTATAGCGCGTTTATACTATTGAAGATTAACACAGGGGTTTAATGCGTCTAGATGTTTAACCTTTGGTATTTACATACACTCTTATCATATATAGAACTTGTATTCCATTCAGTTTAATTTGGTATGGTAAATTACAAAAAAAAAAAAAATGCAGAGAGGTTACCTTCTTAATTCTTATTCATGGATACAACAACACTGGGCACAAACTATCAATTTTATTACGCCATTGAACACATTACGTATTCTGTCTGCATAATATATTTTAAATATGTGTTTCAGTAATGGATACCTGTCTGGTTATGTTAAGTTTAGATTTGTTTACCTTACTTTTTAAGAAAATCTACTTTCCTTTCGAAACACAGAACAAGTGATGGGATTTGAGGTGTCGATCGCAATAACTACAGGGTCTAATTTAATTGAAAAGACTCTGGGCAGAAAGACGATATATTTTTTGACAAAATCCGTAGCGATCCATTTTTAGGATAAGAAAAATATTCAGTCTTCAATAACCTAAGTATTATTTTCGGGTACTTGAGGGAGTAGAATTCGTTTTTTAAAAAATATAATAATTTTTATGAGGCCAAAATATAAAAAAATCGGCAATAACTTTATGTTTTTATTTTATCTAATAGCAGGTTTACATAAGAGTTTTCTGTCGTTTTTATGGGGATTCGCAAGTAAAGCTGTTATCAGATGTTAAGGGTTTTACATATATTTTTATACCCTCAGCCATTTGGCTACAGAGGGTATATACAATTTGATACGGCCAAAACGTGCCTCATCGAAATAACGATGTAAGAACATAGGTCTCTTTGGACCAAATCCGTTTCAGTTTCATTTGGAGTCGATCTAGCGATGTCCGTTCGTCTGTCTGTCTGGCTGGTGCGCACGAAAACTATCGAAGGAAGTATCCGATTTGGTCCAAACTTGGTACGAACTTATCAAGCTTAGGCCGAGTACGGAGATGAACAATATCGGCACACTTCTTCTGGTACCTCCCACACAAAATGTCAACATTTTCAAAGAAAAAACATAATTGCTTCACAGAAAGAGAAAGGATAATCCGATTATGCTCCAATTTTGCGAATCCTAATATTTGCATTAGTGCTACGTCAGGGGGGAAAATGGACCATATCGGTCCACTCCATCAAGTACCTCCCCCACAAAGGGCCAAAATTTTGAATTATTTTAACTCAAACAAAATGTGATATAAGTGTTCGATTGTCTTCACACATCACAATATTTTTTTAAACAAAGGTCAGGTGTGAAGATTGAATATATCGGTTAACTCCTTCTGGTACCTCCCCCACAAAGGTGAAAAAAACGCTCAAAGAAAATAAGCATTCAACTCTCTTTAAATTTCACACATCTAAATATTTTTGCTAACGCAAGATTTGTTGTGAAGATGATATATATCTGCGAACCCCTTCTGGTACCACAAAGGTTCACAATTTTCAATACTTATATATGTCATAACTTGCAAAACAAGTCGGCGATTATATTATAATTTGCTATATCTAAATGTTTCTCTTAACCACAAATCTAATATAAAATTCGTCGAAATTTATGATTTCGCATAAAATTGGATATAAATGTTCGATTTCTTTCAAATATTGCACATTCTAATATGGTCCGCTATATCTGTTACATCACACATATTTCCACATTTCCCCAAAATTTTCACATATCTCATATAAAGTGTTAGAAGTAGTCGATATAGCTCAAATCTGGCACGTTGTAATATTTATATCAGTCTTTTGTCAGATACGAATTGGTCAATATTGACCAACTGCTTCGGAACCTCCCCCATAAGGGTCAACAAATTTGAATGATCAAGGCTGCGTATACCGTCTGTCGGAAAAACTATTTTACTTGTTATTTGGTCTTTTAGTTTTTTTTTTCATCAAGTCGAGATTATGATGTCATGTTAATGGCGGCTGCCACAGTTTATTATTATTTGGGCCCTTTTTATGGCATTTTCCATCACTTTGTCCAAAACTTCCGGCGATAGATCCTTACATTCTTGACGGATATTATCTTTAAGAGCTGAAAGAGTATGAGGCTTTTCCAGTTAAACTCACTTTTATCACCCACTGTACATGAAAAATACAAATTCCCAATGAAAATAATGCGAATGAGAAAAACAAAAACAAGGAACATAAAATGTCCATTGTTGCAATGAAAAAAAAAATTGCTAAGTGCGAATGGGTGTGAGTGAGGCTTCCTAATGATGTCCAAGTTATGGCATCGTTTTTCAATCACAAGTTTTTTTACTATTTATTATAGTATCAGAATGATTAAATAAAGCCTGATAATGGTTAAGTCCAAGCTACTTACATATTAAGCACTACATGTTTACATTGTAATGGAGTTGAATTAAATAGCGGCGGAGAGAAAGAGAGACAGAGAGAGAGCAAGGAGTACGTATTGTTATACTAATGGCTGTAAGTGGCAAAAAAATCAATTTTCTAAATAAAGCATTTGTTTTGTATACACAATAAATTAGAAATATATCGATCAATGAACGCGTCTGGCACATTTTCGTTGGTGTGTGTGTGTTTGTTTGGGATCTCTCACCGATTACGAAACAAATAAATGCGTTTTGAAAAAAAAATCGTTTTTGTTTTGCATTTGTCTCTCCTCTCTGTCTGAGCATCCATTTGATCTCGTGGATTTCGTGTTCGTTTCCCCATCCCGATATCATTGCTAGATTTTTTTTAATTGTTTAAGAAATTAATTTCATTGATTGTGAATTGCGGGATTTTTAATGCCAAATATTGTCAAACAACTAATGAATTAAATCGCCTTTTGTTGTTGTTGTTTTTAGAAATTATTTTTATCGATTAACAGCTGGTTCCTGTTAACTTTTAAACTCAGAGAAATTTTATTCGTTCAATGTTTGAAATGTAATCTATTCTTAGAGAGGACATCTATGGGAACACCCAAGGCCCATTAAACATGTCGTGAAGAACCCTACGTTTATTTAACGATTACATGAAGTTTACAAATACGAAATTAGCTGGTCTTATTGGATGGCCATATATACAGGGTGAGATGAAAAAACTGCAACCAACTTCGGACTGCTGTCATTTCTAAGCCACTCATCCGACAGCTATTAAAATTATTCCAGTGACAGCTCATTATATTGTTTACAAGCGTACAAAAGCATTTTTGTGAGAATTTTCCAAAAAAAAAAATTATTCGTGATGGAATATAAGCGTGATATTGCGATTTTTTTTATATTTGGCTGGAAAACCACAGGTGGTGGCTATCGTTAGAGCACTCCAGCATTTAAATGTGAATAAATATTTTGTGACTCGTACCATCGCTCGTTGCCGTGACAGAGCTAGAGTTGCTTCGCTTGGCCGAAAGTGGTGAACTGTCGAATTTCTTTTTCTCTGTTCCGATGAGAAAACATTCGTTTTCCAGCAGTTTGTAAACAAACAAAATGATCGTGTTTAATAGCCAAAGAGGTCAGCTGAAAATGTGCACTTTCGGTTGGCCACAAGAAATCAAGAGCCGGCCATGGTGATGGTGTAGGCCGCCATAACAGCCGATGGTCGCTCTACGCTCGTATTAATCGATCGTGGCATTAAAATAAACGCCGAATATTATTCTGGAGGGTGTATTAAAGCCTTGGGAACGTAAACATTTTCGCAGACCTTAGATATTCCAACAGGACTCAGCACCATCGCACTCAGCA